CCTGATCAAAAACCTATTGCCTGAGTGATTTCACATTATCTTCTTGAGATCAGAATTCCATTCTAGTTTACTCTGGGACAATAGATGGACCATGGGCTAAACAGAGCAGAAGCACTTTTAATTCCTCAAAAAGATTTTTGTTGGTACTATCATTTTTCATGCCACCAGCAATAATCAAACACAGTGCAATGGTGTGGTAGAAGCAGGGTTGGAGATGACTGATGGGACAATTACATCATCTATTGTATCAACCTCTGTGGGCGGAGGTTGTAAATACCACCGCATTGTCATGGACGGATCATTTCCTGGTCAAGATGGAACTGAGAGCCAATGTCTGCTCCACCGGGGGTGGTAGACCTATTAGAATGGTCCGCCCTCGAAGGCTGATGGAGCCAATTGGATTCCAGAAAGCCTTAGAGGGGTTAATGGTTGGGAATGCCGGTGATCCTGTCGAGACTCTGGTTAATACTTGGAATAACGATCTCACCAGGGCTATCGACACGATCGCTCCCAAGCGTCCTTGCCATCCCGCTTCAAATCGTAGGCCATGGTATACACCTGAGCTTAGGAGGATGAAGCGGTATGGACAACAGCTAGAGCGCAGGTGGCGGAAAACTATTTTAGACATGTTTTAATCTAAACTGTTTGACAGGCATAAAAAAAATGAAATCTCAAAAATATTTGATATTATGAATCCTTAAGTGTACCTTTGGAATGTCACTAGATCCTTAATAAAAAAATATTTAAAAATACACCGCACTTCTTGTTGTGCCTTCAAGTCATTTCCAACTTATAGCAAACCAAAGGTGACCAATCACAAAGTTTTCTTGGCAAAATTTGTTCAGAGGAAGGTTGTCTTTGCTTTCCTCTGAGGCTGAGAGCATGTGACTTGCCCAATGTCACTTAAGAGTGTTTCCATGGCTGAGCAGCAATTTAAACCCTGGTCTTGAATCATAGTCCCAATGCTCAAACTACTACACCACACTTTTAGGAAAATATGCAGGCCTGCTGATCGTGAAAAATGTGGCACACCAGATATCAAACAATGGATACCATTCCATGTTAACTACTACAGAATGTTAATTAACATGTTAATTAATACTAAAAAAATCATGTAACTATCAAATCATCCACAGCTATTCAAGAATTCAAGGAAGAGCCAGACAGTATCCAAAGTCAAGAGAGAATGTGAAGGAGCAAATTCCTTTCAGCTCTAGGTTGCAGTATGTAGATAAAAAGAACAGTCAGGAGGGTAAGTGGGGGAATGAAGACCTGAGTTGCTCAGAAGCTCAGCACTGATGGAAGTGAAGCCTCCAAGGGCGCTTTTGTTCTTCAGCCTTTAGCTACCACCAGGTGCACTGTGGAAAAACTGGATAAAACCTAGAAGAAAAAAGACTTCACATAAAAGAACAATGAGGAATAAAGGCAGAGATTACTAGTCCTCTCAAAACCAAGCTCCTGGGTAGCATGTTTGTTCCTCTTGCATCAGATGCCGTCCCACCACAATCCCAAATAATCACCTTTTTTTGATCCAGTTTTGCCCATCTTCCCCTCCCTTCCCACCTACTAGGTTTTGACTTGAGTATGCAATTAATGACACCAGGTGTAACACTTCCACCTCATCTCCAATGACTTTCCTATTCACTCATGGCCAATTGTATGAGGCCACTACCCACCTGAAAAGTTTCCGATTGTGGGAATCTCCTTCTGTTGGTGTAGTGTTACATCAACCAGAGCGCCAGTACAATGGAAACACAGTTTCATGTTCTCCCACCTCCCACCTAGATGAATCTACAGAATTGGGGGGTCCTGTTCTACAAAGCCAGCCTTTTCCATTTCTTTAAAGCAGTGGTCCCCAACCTTTTTATTGCCGTGGACCGGTCAACGTTTGATAATTTTTCCGCAGCCCACTGGGGGGGGGGGGGGGGCGTTGATTATTAAATCAAAACAATCTCAAATATAAACAATTTCTCCCAGAGTCCCAGTCCAAATCAGTACACCACACTGCCCCTCAACACACTACAGTTCCCAGAATTCCCTAGCATCGCGCCCTGGCAGTTTAAGCGGGGTGGAACCGGATTAATTCGGCAGTGCAGATGCAGCCTGAGGCCCGGGGCCTATTGTGACCTTGAAACCAGGGCCTGCCTGGGGCGGTTATTTTGGGCGCGCCTTGCGTGGCGGCCTTACTCTTAAGGTGTCACAATCCTTTCTTTACCTGAGGCAACCTCACAAATGGCCCAAGGGGAGCCCTCTGCGCCAGAGAGCCCTGAAGGACCGAGGAAGCGCCTCAGAAGGAGCGCGGGGCTCTCTCGCCCTTGAAAGCCCATTGCTTGGCAAAGGGCGCCCCTTCCCAGGAGGGAGGGAGGACAACTACGTAGGGGGGTTGCAGACTGGCAAAAATAGTGCAAATTCAGTCCACTTTAAGGGTTAGGGTTAGTGCTAGGGAATCATGGGAATTATTTTTTTTCTGGGACATTGAGCCTTCTCTGTCAGAGAGCTCTGGTGCCACAATAAACTACAGTTCCCATGTTTCCCTAACCCTAACCCTAAACGTGGACTCAATTTGCACTATTTCTGGCAGTCTGCAACCCCCCTACAACTCCTGGGAATGCCGACTCCTCCTCCTCCCCCTCTCCCTTCCCTTCCCCCTCTCCCTCCCGCTTTCAAAAGGGATAGAACCCACGCCTCACAGAGCCGCGCCAAAGAGGAAGGGGGAGCCCCTGGGCAGAAGGGCTTGGGAGCCTCCCTGAGAGGAAGAGAGGGAAGGAGGAAGTGGGCAGGAGCCAGCCCCGAGGCCCTTGTTTGGCCCCTTCGCCTAAAGGCGGCGGGGAGGGAGGAAGGGAGCCTAGCCTAGCCTAGCGAGGGGAGCCTTGAGCCCCGGCCCTCTGGCGCCTTCGGGGGCGGGGGGAAGTGTCCGCAGAGGTCGAGGCGGGGGCTTCCTCGGGGAGAGGGCTAACTTTGCCTCTTCAGTCGTAGGACCCGCCGCGGCCTGGTACCATTTGTTCTGCGGACCGGTACCGGGCCGCGGACCGGGGGTTGGGGACCACTGCTTTAAAGCACCAAATGCAATTAGAACAGCAATGTGGAGACTTTCCAAATACATGCATGGTGAGGCACAACTCTGGTGCTTTAAAGTGCTATGTTTATGCACAACCTAATAAATACATGAAAGCAAGAGAAAGGAATTAATTTTATTTATATCCACCTTTCTCTCAACAGGGAACCCAAGGGGACTTACAATATAGGGTTAGCTGCCACTTACTTTGATGCACGTAGCCTGTGGAAAAAATCCAAGAGATACTGCCATCATTCAATATTGTGAAATTTGTCTCACTCAAAATGGGACAATTTCTTGCCTGTATTTCTCCCTTCCCCAGCAAAATGGCCATTGTAAAGATGGACAGAATACATTTCAATGGGAGGGCTTTTTTTGTGTGTGTCAAAGGAAGCCATGGGCGTGAAGTCTGTATAGAGGCCCACTGGAGCAATCTTGTCTGCCTGAAGACATTTAATTAATTTCATTTCATGTCAATCCAATATTCAGCGTTTTCTCACAAGTGCTCTCTCTCTCTCCTCCAGGTAACTCCCATTTTTTCTCCACAGAAGCCAACAATACTCATTTCTTATACAGGACAAAGTCAAGGCTCCACTTAGAAATGGTGGTAGAAATATATATTCTGATCCGATTCACCCTTCTGTTGTCAACAGGAAACATGCAAATTTCATGGCAGAAACGGCTGTACAATGACAAGTTTTTTAAACATTCATCTCATAGAAAATGTGTGCATTTTTCCAAGTAGCATTTTGTACGTATCTGCAAAATGTAAATGCAAAACATAATTGCTGTTGCTGCATGAACTGTAATAGTAGTAATGGAAAGGACTGTCTTTCTGTTTGTTTAATTGTCTAATTTACCGTATATCCTACCTTTTTCCCAGGAGAGGACACATGATCCATCAGCTTAGTGTGGGTGTATAGGTGTGTTTATCTTCATAAAGGATGGGGGAGTATTTTTGTACAGAAACAGGTCAATGCACAACAGCACTATGAAATGTGTCTCACCGACAAGAGCAAAAGAAACTGGAGTTTTACATAAAATGTATTTGATGTATATTGTAAAACCCAAAGAGGATGAACAAGAATACATAGCATTAGAGTCAGGCTGGAGTTGAAATTTCTCAAAGAGGGATGGAAAATCCTTGGGGCCAGTCAGGGCCTCCCAAACATAATTCTTATCTTTCATTATCAAAAGAAAGAGCCTGGCATGAATAAACTTACTTTTGGACAAGGGACAATCCAGATTCATCACAGCTGAACTAGGCCAGACTCGTGCCAACTAACCACAGAACACACAAACAGGGGGGAATCATGACCATACTGGATATATGACGCTGAACAGCATGGAGCAGGGTATTTCACAGATCGCAACCTCCACCAGCATGCACCTCTCTGGAATTTGCATTCATTACCCATGGCTCTAGTACAGCCCCATCCTGAGAGGTGAGACTGGTGGGGATCCAGAACTGAGGCTGCATCCACATTTTGCAGAAATAATCCAGTATGATGCTCTTTAACTGCCATGGCTCAAAGCTATGGACTTCTGGAAATTGTAGTTTCTTGTGGCACCAGAGCACTCTGATAGAGAAGGCTACAGTTCCCAGCAGTGGTGTCACTAGGTTTGGCATCATCCAGTGCAGTAAATCATGGTGTTACCCCCCCCCATTGATCTCCGCCCATACCACACCATACAGAATCCTTAGTAATGCTTTTTTTTTACTAATGCTACTCATTAATCGTAATTCCTGTATATTACTGAATTTAACTGTGATAGTTGTGACACAGACAATTTTGCTTCTTGTTGTGTGCCTTCAAGTCATTTCCAAATTACGGAGACCTTATCATGGGGTTTTCTTGGCAAGATTTGTTCAGAGGAGGTTTGCCATTGCCTTCCCCTGAGGCTGAGAGAATGTGACTTGCCCACGGTCACCCAATAGGTTTCATGGCCGAGCTGGGAATTGAGCCCAGGTTTCCAGAGTTGCAGCCCAGCACTCAAACCACTACACCACACTGGCTCTATAACCAACTAGCAAAATTAAAATCATACCTCTAAATTACAATATCGTATATACAGCCTAAATGCATTACATATGCATAGTTTCATGGGGTTGAAGTAAAAATTCAGTAAAATGTGCTATTTTTAAATATGTTTTTAAAATTATTATTTTTAAAAAATTAAAATTTAAAAACTTGGGCTTCCCCTTTCTCCTCCCACTATGCCTCACCCCACTCATACTATCTCTTCAGCATTTTAAAGGGACATGGGTGAATGCCAGTCTGTTTCTGCCGAAAGGCAGATGGTTGAGTAGCAGTGGTGTCACTCTCCCATTAAGGTGTCACCTAGTGTGGTCTGCTCCCCTGCACACCTCTAGTGATGCCAGATTCCCAGAATTCCATAGCACTGAGCAGTAGCAGTTGAAGTAGTGTCAACCTGAATTATTTCTGCAGTGAAAATGCAGTCTGAATCTTCTGGCAGTATCCTAGTTGAAGAACTCCCTTCCCAGGGAGACTGAGAATGCCACCCAACTCAGTCTGAGACTAAGTTGCCACCCTTTTTACTGGTCTTTAGATGACTAGTAAAAAAATGGTAACTGTTCCACTCAGTTTCTAGTGCTGCCCTAGTATTTTTCAAAGTTCTTTTGTTTTAGTATAATGTGTGTGTGTCTGTGTGTTATATATATAAAATCTGCTTTACTTCAGGATTTTAATTTGTTGTTGTTGCAATTATTGTACTGCGTTTTTCTAGTGTTATTATAAAGCCACCTTGAACATTCACTAAATGGAGGGGCATGAATGCAAAAAAGATCAACCAGCCTTCGGATTGTGGAACTGGTCTAGCTAAACTGACAAACCTTAAAAATCCTTTTACATATTTTAACATAATTATTATGAAACATTTAATTTGCTTAGGGAGGCTGGAGACCGGGCAGCCAATCAGAGCTTTTAAGGATGCTCACAAAGGCTGCAGTTTCAAAGGCTGCATAGTGGGAGGAGGTAGTGGGAGATAGTTTGATAAGGAATGAGGGAACTTGGAGAAAAAGGGAAGTAGATAGGCAATAAGGGAATTTGGGGAAAGGTAGCTAAGGAATGAGGCAAGTTAAGAGAAAGATAGACAGGTAATGAAGTTGGAGACAGAGGGGGGAAGATAGGCAAAAAGGGAAGCTGGATAAATGTAAATAGGAAACAGTTCATTTTATTTCCCATGCTCAGTGCATGAGTTTGACACATTAAAGACCATGAGTCATTACCCATCTGCCTTTTAAAGATTTTGTTCCTGCAACTGTTGGGTTCTTGTACTATAGTTGGCCCTTGGTATCCATGGATTTCCCATCTCTGAATCCAAACATCCATGGATAGCAAGCCCGTGTTGTCACCAATGGTGGTATGTGCACATGGCTGTACAGCCATTAAGGACAGCCCCAGTTGTCCCGTGGAAGTGCATGCATGCGGCTGCACCGCCATTAAGTTCCGGTGTCCCCAATGGCAGTGCAGCCACGTTCTTAATGGCACTGTGTTCTTAATGGCACTGTTCTTAATGGCACTGTGGCCGCATACACATGCCATCATTGGGGACGTGTGCTTGAGCAGGGATTTTGGTATCTGGGGGGGGGGGTCCAGAATGGATTCCCCACAGGTACCGAGGGCTGACTGTATTTGCCTTGTTCTCTATATAACATTTTAGACTATTATCTCCAGCACTTGTTGAACTCCTGCCCTCAAGAATGCTGTCTCTATCCCCCACATAACTTACTTTAAAGCCCTCCTGATCATATCTTTCAGACTTTTAGCAAAAAAGTTCCTGCCAAATGAGGTGCATCAGATCCTTGGCAGAAGTCAACATCCGTGAAACTAAGCACCATGGTCCAGGAAGCAAATTTGTTCCCAGCAGCACCATTTGCAGAGCCAGTTTGTTCCCTTCCATTATTTTTCTCTCCCTTCCTAGGCCATGCCCTTCCACTGGAAGGACAGATGAAATAACTACCTGTATAGTGCATCACTCCCTTTCAGCTTCCTACTCAGAGCCTCATAATCCCTTCTAATATTCTGAAGGCTATGCTTTGCAGTATCATTGGTTCCCTCATGATCCAAAAGGAAGGGATTATGATCAATGGGATTATCAGACTCTTGTTACATTGCTGATTTTACCCCGAGGAAAACAGCATACTTCTCGAGACATCTTGTCATGCCCAGTGGTGTACTCATCCATGGCGTCACCTGGTGTGGGGAAGTGGGGCTTCTGGAGGGTGAGGTCATGTGAAAATGTCTGCTTAGGCTGCTGAAACAGCTGCCTGCTGCCCGCCCAGACCTGACACCCCTCCCTCGAGGCCCAGAGACCTCCCTCGAGGCCCGTGGAAATGGCCGTGCAGAGAGGGAAGCCCCATGCAAGCCATGGAAACAGCTGTATGGGACGGGAAAGCAGCTGCGCAGCCGGGCAAACCGCTGCCTGGCACCTGCCCAGGTCAAAGACCTCTTTGTGGAAGCAGCTGCATGGCCAGGGAAGGGCTGCACAGGGTGGGAAAACATCATGCAGGGTGGGAAAGCAGCTGTCCCTCCAGGGAAACAGCCGTTCGCCAGAGACCCCTCCCCCAAAGCCCGGAGCGGCACACACACAGGTCTAAGGAGTGCCTGCAGGGGGGCAGGGCTGACTGGGTGACACCCCCCTCTTGGGGTGTCACCCTCTTCTGGGGTGTCACCTGGTGCTGCCCACACATTCCGCACGCCATCAGTGACACTACTGGTCATGCCCTTGAAGTATTGATTTTGTACACCTCAGCAGAAAGTCCCACCACCACCACCACCACCTACCTAAGGGGTAGGCAACCTTTCCCCTTTAAGAGCCAAGGGACTTCAGCTCCCAGAATCCCAGGAGCTATTGGCCAACATGGGACTATTGGCTAACATGGCTGAGGCTTCTGGGAGCTGAAGTCCCTTGGCCCTTAAAGGGGAAAGGTTGCCTACCCTTGAGTCCTACCTCTTCCAAGATTTGGCAGAGGCCATTCCATATGTTGAACCTTCCAAGGTCTCATGCACATTTCCTGAGCACTGACACTGCTGCTCTTGCTTCCCTTCATCATTAATGATAAGGGAGAGAGCTTCAAATCAATTTTGCAGCACCAAATTCAGAATGATCCCTGGTCCTTCTGCTTCTAAC